TCGGAAGAGTTCAACACCTGCATATTTTGAGATTTCATGACATACGACCTTTTACATTTTGTTCACATTCGTCCATCCTCTGTTTACCATGGTAGGGCCCCAGTTGTATCCATGACAGAACATTTCTCTGAAGGCCTAGAGAAGCTTTCTGCTCTTTAGAGTTCATTACAATATCGTACAGTTTTCTGGCCTTTTCAAAATACTTAACACATAGGTATTATAGCCTTTGACCCACAACAGCTCCATGACAGGACCCACTTAATACCAAGGCTCAAAGAAACTAATTGGCCAAGGCTACACATTGCATAGGTGGGTGAAATGGGACTTCTTGTTTGTTTTTCCATAGGAAACCTCAGGAGTCTTAAAGAGTAAGTGCTCTCTGGGAACCTCACTACACTGGTTGGCCCATTTCCCAGAGGTGGGGATGTGGACTGAGGCAGGAGATAGGAAGTCTAGGGAGTGGGGAATGCTTGGGCAGAAAGGTCCAGAAGGTGAGTTGGCTGAGGTCCCATGAGGCTTCTGCCTAGACCTCTCCCAGCTAAGTTTCTGTCAGTGGGCCCTTTCTAGAGCCTGGGGAAGTGGAAAGAGGAGGTTGGTGGGGGGAATGGCAAATACAGAGGTACCCAAGTAGTTCTCTCTGAGTCTGAAGCTGAGACAGTTGAGCAGCTGCAAGAAAAAGATGCTGCCAGCTGCTTAAGGGGGCCCCAGTGGTGTCACCACATGCATGTGGGAGCTCTTGACGGCTTGGTCAAGCTCTGCCCCTGGCTAAGCCTTCTGCCCTAATGTCTCTTCTCAAAGTCCCTGCCCCCCCCCCACCCCAAGTACCTGCAGCATCAGCTTGTGGGAGGTGCCCAGAGGTCAGGCCAGTCTGCCCTGCCAGTTCCAGCAACATCATGCATGCCCTGACCAGTCCCAACTAGGGACTGAAGGTCTGGGGCCTGCTGAGGCAGGAAGGCCCTGGTCCCAACTGCCCTCCCTCTCCCCTGGGCTTCAGGCCCTAGGCCAGGGCTCAACAGACACAAGCAGCAGGATGGGGTTGCCCTTCTATTGGTCTAAGTCCTGAGCATGGCTTGGGTGAGACATGGAGGTGAGGAGGCCCACGAGGCTCAGCAGTGTGGAGAAAAGCAGCAGGAAGGAGGCGGTGAAAAGCAGGGTGGGGAGGGCACTGAGCACCAGCAGCAGGACAGCCGGCAGCAGATGGAGCCACGCTGCAGCTGCCACGGGCCACAAGGAGCTCAGCAGGTGGGAGCCGGTGGTGAAGAGCGCGTGGCACAGCATCAGCACCAGCAGCAGGTAGAGGATCCCCTCCAGACCCCACAGCACACGCTGCAGCGGTTGCCGCCAGCCTGATGTGGTCCACCCCTGGGTCCAGCTTGGGGGCACATGGCACACGCACCAGCGCACCCAGCCCTCCCACGTGACCCAGGCCGACCAGGGCACCGCACGCTGTGGCCCCTCGCCAGCCCCGATGGCATGCGTCTCCGCTCGCGGCTGCTGCATCACCGCTGGTGCACCTGGGGAGAGAGCCACGCCAGCTGCAGGAGCAGCCCTGGAGATGCCTGGCACCTCAGGGTGGGTGAGGGTGCAGGGGTCAGGAGGGTACCAGCATGGGTGTGGTGGGGCTTTGAGCTGGGGCATGGGTCTTACCTCTGGGCAGAGCCACCTAGGTCATGTTGCTTCCTGCAGCGCCCAGCCAGAGTTTAGCCCCCACTCTCACTGCCCCCACCCTTCCCAAAGGAGCCCCATTGTGACCTGGACTAGGGTGGGGTCCAGCCAAGAGAGGAAACACTGCAGGATGTGAGGCTTACCTGAGCCTCTTTCATGGACCCACCAGGCTGGCAGGGGAGCCTGGTGAGCCCACAGATGTAGTTTCTCATGTTTTCTTGTGGAAAGACCTCTCTGGATCCCTCCCATCCCTGCTGGCCAATATCCAGTCCCACTCCACTTTCTTGCAGTTCTTTCTCTCTGGACCCTCATTCTCTAGAACCACAGTGGAGGCCAGAATAGTGACCCCTAACCTAGAGGTTCTGAGATGGCTCCCATTCCCTGCACTGGAGTCCCTGTCCCTTATCTCACTTTTTACTGATGCCCTCGGACTCAGACCTAGGTATCTGCTGTCCACATTGTGGGGAGACCGCAGAGGTCCCCCAAGGTAGGTGCAGGCTGGGGGATAAAGGGGTATCCTCCCACCTTCCCAGACCAGGGTGGAGGAAAGGAGGCCTGAGGAAACAGCATGGTCAGTGTATTTCCGGAGGGCATTCAGGCCCAAGGATGGAGGCAGAAAGCCAGGGCAAGCAGTGCCAAGGGCATGCCGCGGGCTCCCAGGAGTAGCCCCAGGCCCAGGAGCAGCAGCAGCAGAGCCTCCTGGAGGCTGAGTCGTCCTGTGACTGCCATCGTGGGCAGGAGTGGAGACTCCTGCTGCCCTGGACCCTCGCTGGCCCCCTGACTCTGGCCCCCTGTGAGATGTGTGTGCTGTGGCCAGGTGGGCAGGCCTGTGGAGAGAAAGGGTGGCAGCTGGGCTTTGGGAGGTTGACCCCTTGCTCACCTGCCCAACCTGCCAGGCTGCTGTCCACTTACCGGTGGAGCAGGTCGAAGACCAGGAAGCTGACCGGTAGCAGCAGCAGCGAGGCTGGGCCAGCTGTGGAAAAGACTGCCCGAATTGTCAGCCCCAGTGCCCCCAGCCCTAGGACACTGTCCAGGACTTGGGCCTGGCTAGGGCCCCAGGGGGACACACATGGACCCACTGGGCTACCCGATCCCTCCCCAGCACCCATGCCCCTGGAAGGGAGTGGGACAGGATAAGCAAGGGCTTCAGGCCTGGGTAAGCAGAGGCGGGTCATGGAGGGAGGTGGAGGTTACAGGAAGGACTAGGGCTGGGAAGGAGTATGGGGCGGAGGACCATGGGAGGGCGTGGGGCCCTGGCTGACACTCAAGGGTGAGCTCAGGCAGTGGGGAGCTGGGCTCCTTAGAAATCTCCCCCTCCCCACACACCCACCCACCAAACCCGCCTCACCCCCTCCCACTTCAGTCAGCCATTTTGGTGGGTTGGGCGGCTGGAGCATTGTGATCTACTGCCAGGTGGGGACCTGGCGTAAGGAGCAGGCTAATGCTGGTTCTGGCCTCATAAGTAGCGGGTGGCTTAGGCAGTTTAGCCAAAGGGAGGTCTGACTTTTGAGAGCTAAGACTAATCCTCTTGTCTTTGCTAATTCTCCGCCCTAGGGCCCTCCGGTGGGGATTTGAGTTGCCAGGAAGGCATTATAACCCCATCACCACCTGGGTAGCTTACCACGGGAGGAAGGGCTGCTTGTCTCTCGGGTTCCCGGGGCTGGGTGTCCAGGGGCAAGTCACTCAATCTGTCTTCCCCAGCTCTCTTCCCCTGAAAGTAGGGTGAGGCCTGTGGGCTCTTGGGGGGGATTTTTCAGAACTGCAGTCCTGGAATGCAGATATAGACTCTGCCAGGAAGCAACCAGAGGCTTTCTGGGGCAGGGCTCCCACGTGACCTACTAAATGGGGGTGGGGCAGGAAGGGGCTGTTTAGCTGTTTGAAGCATTGCTGTTTGTGGGAGGTGTTCTGGCATTCCAGAAATGGCACAGAGAATGACTGTACGAGGGCTACAACATAGTAACCCCAAAATTGGAGATTAAGGTCACACTCCAAGAACGAAATTATGGAAAATGAACATATATGAAGGGATTGGTCACCTGGAAAAGAAACCTATCTCCACTAATAATCTGTAAATGGTTACAGAGGTTCAGTTTAGTGACTTGAGAGGCAAGAGTGGAAATGGGTCATAACTGAGAGAACTTAATCCTTGTTCACATATCATACTTTGAAGGAAAACTGATGGAGGTAGGGGTAGGGGGACAGTGACCATACAGGCCCTAGGAGAAGCAGAGACAGAGCAAGGGTCCGGCTGCATATCTGCCTCCAGGGGATTCTGTTCAAAGATTCAAGCCTGGTGACCTTGACATCTTTGGTGGGGATGAGCTCAACAGCCATAGAGCCAATGCCACCAGCCCTTGGAACCATTCATTGATTGCCTTTTTCTGAGTCTTCCCAGAGCAATAAAGCAATGCCCACAAAATTCTGAGGGAAAATGATTTACAACCTAGTAACATATCTGTCTAAACGATTATCAAGTATGAGGGTAGAATAAAGACATTTAAAGCCAAACAAGGTTTCAGAAACTTGACCTTGCGTACACTCTTTCTTAGGAAGCTACTGGAGCATGTGCTTCAGAAAAATAAGGAACTAAACTAAGAAAGAGGTGAGGCTAAACACAGGAGAGTGGTGATGAGAAAGACCTGGGACGTCAGCTACGTTTCCAGGTAAAGAAAGCAAGCAACCCAAACTGGAATCAAAAGATAGATGCTCCAGGAGGGACGTCTCCAGAAGAAAATGAAACTGATTATCTGCTGGGGTTTTTTTGTTTGTTTGTTTTTTAATTTATTTATTTTTGGCTGCATTGGGTCTTCGTTGCTGTATGAGGGCTTCTCATTGCAGTGGCTTCTCCTGTTGCAGAGCACGGGCTCTAGGCGCGCGGGCTTCAGTAGTTGTGGCACGCGGGCTCAGCTACTCTGCAGCATGTGGGATCCTCCTAGAACAGGGCTCAAACCCATGTCCCCTGCATTGGCAGGCAGATTCTTAACCACTGCGCTACCAGGGAAGTCCCTATCTGCTGTTTTTAGACATATGCAAAATATTTAGTTCTGTTGGAACCTTTGGGACTGAATTAGCAACTAGTGCCTTGAAAACCAAGCAAATGATAAAACTAAGTAATTGCTAACTCCAGGGAACAAAAAAAGTTGAACAATAATCTTTACATAGTCATAATATAAGCACTGAATATTGACTCCAGTGATTTAGTTCTTTTGGGAGGATGGCAGGAGGAAATGTGTATGTGTATTTTGGTGTATGTTGGGGGGAGGGGTAGTAGGAAAGCTAAATCCTTAATTCCATAGCATGAAATCCACAGATAACATCTAAACATAAAAATCCAAGAAATAGCAATAGAAGCTTAAAGGTAAATACAAGAAGGAATAACAAACAGAACTAAAAGTGGTTGACTTGAGAATAGAGAAGCAGAGAAGAATCTTCTGTTACAGACCTATATGTGATTTACCTTTAAAATTATATTCTGCATGGACTTCCCTGGTGGTCCAGTAAGTAAGACTTCACACTCCCAATGCAGGGGGCCCAGGTTGATCCCTGGTTGGGGAACTAGATCCTGCATGCATGCCACAACTAAGACTCTGCATACTGCAACTAAGAAGTCTGCATGCTGCAACTGAAGATCCTGCGTGCCTCAACTAAGACCTGGTACACCCTAAATAAATAAATAAATAAATAAATAAATATTTTTAAAGGTCTTAAAAATTATATTCTGTAGTATTTCAATTAAAATGATTTCATTTAAAACAAGCAAATCAATATAGGGTCCTTTGGTGGAGATCAGGAATATACCCTCCCAGGATGAATGAAATACCAATTTCCTAATGTTATGTGGATGTCCTCATAGGGCTTGAGATAAAATTTCCAGTAACAGCATCAAACACCATCAAACTCAGAAAGCTGTGAATCTCATGCATTTTAGATGGAGTTGCTCTAAACCTCCATCTAGTGCTTCTCAGCCCACCTGAATCTCCTGGGGTTGAATCCTCTGGGGATCTTTTTAAAATGCAGATTCTGATATAGTAGGTCTCGGCAGGGATTCTGCATTTCTAACAAGCTCCCAGGGGTTGCTGATGCTGTTGGTCCTCGGCCACACTTTGAGGAGTAAGACTCTAGAAGAAGTTGATGTACAAAAGAGAGATAGCTGGGGGAGGTAGTGGTGAGGGGAGGCGGGCACGTGGGGAGATGCTTCTAGGTGCCACAGGAGTTCCCATCAAAGCTCACCTGCATCATAGGGAGAGCACTTAGTGGGGAGTGAGTACCAGGGACAGGAGATTGGGAGGCACAGAGAGGCAGCAGATTTGCCTACTTCTCAATTTGTAGTCAGACACACAGCCTCCTCTCTTCTCTTGATAATGGTTTTTTTTTTTTTTCCTTCGGTACGTGGGCCTCTCACTGTTGTGGTCTCTCCCGTTGCGGAGCACAGGCTCTGGACGCACAGGCTCCGCGGCATATGGGATCTTCCCGGACCGGGGCACGAACCCGTGTCCCCTGCATCGGCAGGCGGACTCTCAACCACTGCGCCACTAGGGAAGCCCACTTGATAATGTTTTATTCCATCTGCGTATGTGGGAGCAAGAGGACTGTGTTAAGCTGTTTCCCTACCTTTCATTCATCTGGTAGTGGCCCCCAAGAACCACATATTATCTCACTTCACAGCAACCCAAAGAGGAAGATATTATTGTTCCCATTTTACAGATGAGAAAACAGAGGCTCGGAGAGGTAAAATTACCACCCAAGGATACGCAAACAAAATGAACAGCAGAAATAGGATGTGACATTAAGCCTGTGTGGCACCAAAGTCATCTATCATCTCTGCCTCCAGCCACCTGACCACACTGGGGAGCAGCCAAGAGAGTCCCAGACCATCCCTTAAGCCAAAATCCCTTTGGGGCAGGTATCTCCACCCAGTCCAGCTCAGTCTTGCTCATTTGTGCTTTGCAACATATCCTTGCTCTCAGGAGGCCACGAAAAAGCCTCCACCTGGCTCCCAGGGCTAGAGATCTGGCTGTGCAAGTACCTGCACCCTGGAAGCCGCCACCTCTAGACCCTGCTTCCGGACTTGGTGCTGTTGCAGCTCTAGGCAACCAAATGGCAAGGACAAAAGGCAGCAGCTGAGCAGGGAGAACAGAAGGGATGAGCAAGTTAGAAGGGGCGTGAGAAGGTGGGAGATTGGTGGAAGATGGCCAGCATGCCCCGTCCCACCAGTCTCTTTGGAGGCAGGTCTCCCAGTTCATTGCTGGCCAACTCCTCTCCTGTAAAACCTGGCACTGTTGAGGAGGCCAGCTTCCCTCCAGCCCTGCTGGGTCCCCTCTAACCTTGAACATATTATACACATACTTTTTGAGCACTGACTAGAGACCAAGCACTGTTCTAGGCCCTGAGGTACAGCTGTGAACATTTGGGTGCAAAAGGCTCTTGTGGGGTTGCTTACCTTCTGCTGGGTGGGAGTGGGGACCCAGACACAGAACACATAATAAATAACACAAGATATATTCAGAGAGGGTTGAGTACCTTGAATCAATAACAAAACAGAGTGAGAGGATATATAGTACGTGTGGAGGCTGGAGTTTACTTTTGTCAGAATGGTCAGGGAAGTAAGTAACATTGAAAGGCCATCTGAGTGATAGGATGCAAACTTGGTGAACCAGTGCAAAGGCCCTGAGGCTGGATGGGGCTGGTGCATTGGAGGAACAGCTAGAATGCCTGTGTGGCTGGAGAGATATGAGCCAGGGGGAGAACACAGGGAGATGAGGTGGGAAAGGTGTGGGTGGGGAAGAACATTTTCAGGAATAGCCTGGAAGGTGAGCACACTAGG